GTATTTCCACCACTCAGTTTGGGCTTTAAGATCTTCTTCACTCTCTTTAAGTATTTACTAACATTCTTCTTGACATCAGTATGCTTGACATCAATATGCTTGATGTCATCAGCTTGAAAGATGCCCACATATTTGTAGTGATCATCTTCATCCAGTCTCTTTATGTTATTTTAATGGGGCATCTTGATTCCCTCAATTTTCACAATTTTTCTCCTGGTGATGTTGAGTGTGATGCATTTGGTCCAGTCCAAACTCCATTGCAATATCTTGGCTGTATATTCAAACAGTGTTGAGCAGTGATTCCATTTCAGATGAAGTTTTTCTATGTAAAGGAGATGGGACAGCCATGTAAAGGAGGTTGGAAAGTCATGTAAAGAAGGTGGGATAGGTTGGAATATATTTTTGATGTTTGATAGTCATGACTTAACTTGTTCAGTATTGTTGATAGAGAAATCAATGCAATGACAAACAGTAATAACTACTTTCCAAACTGTGTTGCTGTTAGACATTTTTCACTATGCCCCAGATGTGTCCATTGTGCAGTTCCCATATTGGTGCACAAATCTATATCTTCTGCACTCAGGAGCTACTCAAATTCTTTCCATTGGATGTATATCAGCTCCTAACTCAGCACTACTGCAGTCCTCCTTTTTTTCAAACCTGCCTTATTTCTTATCCTATCAATTCTTATCTCATGTGGGCATTCTGATTAGATTTTTAATAAGCTTCCTTGGATGTAAGGAGACATTAATGAAAATAGGTTAGTTTTGAGGTAATTTCTAGCAAATGCAACTGTAACTTGAGAGCATTCATTAATTATGGGGGCAAAAGAGAAAATATCACTAACATTATAGCCATGTTCCTGTCATAATTGGACATGATTCTACCAAGAAAAAGGGGATTGGATGCTAATGAATGTAGTGTTGCTTCCTGGTTCACATAACTTCTCTTTACAGTAATTCACTGGGCCAGCTACAGTATCTCTATCATCTCAAAGTCTGATGTAATTCTGTGATATCTCCAGGCAGGATAAAAAAATCTTCAGGAGCAAGGTTTCATGGAACAATGATCTGATTTAGTTTAAGTCAGTTTCTTTCATTTTATGCATGTAGCTGATGTTATTATCATTGTGTTCAGTAGGTCATAAGGTTGTATGGGGCTTTCTACCATAAACTAGTTTTCTGTGAAAACTGTAATGCTTTATGGATGAATGTATATCCAGTCCTATCATACGGCTTCCCCAAAACAAAAGGAAATATAAAATAATGAACTATTATACTTGGTGCTGCTTGTGAATGAGTAGACTGGTTTTTCAATCCCAATAACTTTTTTTAAGGCTGAAGACTCATTCTCCCAAATAAATAACTGGTGTTACCATAGCAACCTTATGTATCTTATATTCTCAGGATATACAACCATAACCTTTTACAGAAATCCAAAACACCAAATCAGGGATGGAGACTTCTCAAATTAAATTTAGAAAAATATTTTTCTCTACATTTCAGTCAGTTGATTTAAGAATTTTCCCTTTCTTACCTTGTTACATCCCTATTTCTATTCATGTCAATTGTGTAAAAGTGTAACAGTCATCAGCTAATATTTTATATGTCACGCCTGGAGGACCATTCCCAATTACATTGAGAAAAACACAGTTTGTTACCCAATATATACAAAGTTTGTGAGATGGGCAGCTATATACGGTAAATTTCAGAAATAAATACAAGTTCATTCTGGAACTCAGTAAAAGCTGAATGATTACATTTCATGAGTATCACGTTCCATTTACATATGTCTCTGGGCAAAAAATGAAACAGCTAATAATTAATTTAAAAATGTTAATTTTAACATGAGCATATATCTTGCAATTATTGAACATTAAAACTTAAAATATTTTAAACATTTTGTGGATATATCAAACAACCTATGATTTGCCATATTAAAATAGTAGAATAGCATAAATTTCATAACACACAGTCAGAAAACTAGAGTAGCTGAACCCATAAAACATCAACATTCAGAGTTGTTCATTCTATTTGGGTGTTTTAACATCATATCAGAAATGCAATATGACTTGCATTGCTCCATCTATTGAGGGATACCAAATCAGATTAACAGCTGGTAATTATGTTTAATGTTATCCCAATGTATCTGATATGATTTATTATCCCATAATTGTGACTATCTAAATGTACTGAACATAGATAAATAAACCAATTTGGTACATTTTTTAAATCAGAAACTCAGTCTTCTTACTTTAAGAAAACTCTTGTAATTACTCACATTCAAATGATTTGTGAAGTTTGAGATTTTAAGTACACATTAATTCGATTGAAAAATTATGACTCCAATTATGTAACTATTTTCAAAGCTAAATGTATGCTGTTGTCAATATATCATATTAAAGTACATAGGGTTGGACCCCAATATACCCATATGTAGAACAAACCCATTGTAGTTAATCAGGATTTACATCATATTGATTTCAAGCTAAAATTAAACCTAGGGCTAGTAATCCAAGCATTTCCATTAAAAAAAAAAGTCAGTAAGTTTGTATTAAACATTGAATTTTTTCTCATTTCATGGATTAAACCCAGTGTTCTTTTTACAAATGAAACATTTACTTCCTTTTGACAAGAAACTGAGATTCTGCCACTGAAAATGGGGAGTACCCTCTTCTGATCCCCTGCATCTTTTCTAACAGTTTTCATAAATCCTCCCTGCTCCCAGTTGCCTAGAACAGCTTTCCAGAGGCTCAGAAAAAAGGGGAAAATAGCATAAATTGTTTCTGCTATCCTACTAATGATTATTATCTTAGTCATATAAAAGATGTCTCATTCGTGCAGTAAAAAAAATAAAAGCAGCTCTTCTGTACTACTGCAAGAGCATTAGATCACCTTAAACTGAAACAGAGCTTTGTGTTGCAACTCCATCAACAATGAACTCAAGCCAGAATCAGGTGCCCACGAGGGTTTGGCCCAGCATCTGCCCGTATAAGAAAAAGCAAGGTCTAAACCATTATTATGACTCTGAACTGACCCATTCTTTTGTCCCAGAACATCTGGTCTCCACCAGAGAAGGCAATGGGCATAATTCAAAACTATTTAAAGGTAACACCATGAATGGTTTCAAAAAACACACATAAAAGAACCCCCTCTCTTACATTTTTTTTCAAGATGTTATTTAAGGTAGTCTGACAGATATGGCTCAGATCACTGGTGACAACTGGCTACAGATCTATTTAATTGGTTCTGTTAAAGTGGCAAAAGAAAAGTGACAAAAATATCACTACTCCTGTATGAAAGGAACCTAAAGTTGTTTGCTTTTTGTGTTAGCAGAAGAACTTCATTCATATGGCCTGCTTTTTTTTTAATTACTTCATAACTAAATACATGGTATCAGCATAGATATGGGAATGGACTCAGTCACACATTAGGGAAATAATCACATTATAGGAATATTTACTTACTATCTCAACTTTTTAATGCAATTGGAATCCACCACTTGTTGAGCTTGAGAAGCCCTACTATTCAAAAACTGATTAATTGGTCTTTGGCGGAACAGAGGACATCACTACCACCAACAATGTTGAGAGATGATATACTTCATTTTATTTATTTTGCAACGACAAAATGTAGCAAATGAAAATAGCAAATTCCCTTGTGTCACCTCCCCCCTCCCAATAATGATGTTAGAATCAGCGTCAATTTCATCATCTCTTAAGGTGAAAATAAGTTACTATGAAACTGGAAACAAATGTACTTCCTTTGTCTATTTCAAATTCAGATATCTGGAATATTTATCTGATTCGGTTCTTTTGCTATGAAATCCATTGCTATATCTGAAGACAACACAAAATTGGGTATTTTGTCCATTTCAGCATATTGACAAGTTAAACAAAGGGTGAGAAAGGCATGGTAAAAAAAAAAGGGAGCCAAGCCCAGTCTTTCAGAAAACATATAAATCTGTCAGTCTTCCTAGGACTGCAAGCATCTTAGCATCTGCTGTTGCTGTTGTTAAAATCCTAGACATTCAGCCTAGACTGAATCATGAAGCGATCCTTACGCATCCACAGAGATAATGTCTACCACTTTCTGCAGGGAAAAAAAAACACAAAAACCAAAATATACATTTAACCTAAAAACAAGCATTTGTGTTAAGTGTGCATGCACAGGCATGCAAACTGGTGTATTTTAAATAACTCCCAACTGTTTTACAGAGCAGAACCCAAGAGAGAGGCACACATTAGCCTCCTTCTATATATTTACCCCTCCACTTTTTTCCCCCACTTCCTCTTGAGCCCAGAATTAAGCCCACTCATCCGCCAAGCTTGGAGGGAGCTACTCCATTGTTAAGAGGGATGAAAAACATTTTGACTGTCTAGTCTCTCCTAAGCATTGTTATTTCATCAGGGCACCCCAACGGGAGTCCACTGCAGTCAGATTCCATCCCATCTAGCTGCCAAGAGACATTTGTCATTGAGGAAGCAAGAATGGCTCTTCTCTCGGTCTGTCTACTGCTCTGTTTACTGGAGACAAAGATCACCAGAAGTGACAAAGAAGCCAGCATCAAGATAAAAGAATCTCCCTCCCACTAGACCTTTTATCCCAAGACAAGTCTGTATCAGAAGGACTAAAAATAGTATGTGTGTGGGGGGGGCAGAGAAGTGATGTCACATTTCTGTTTTCTGTTTTGGTTTGCTTTTTTTTTCAGTTAGACAAGTTTTTCCCTCTCCACTTCCCCACCCCTCAACCCTGCAGTCCCCAAGACTGTAGTAACACTGACCACCTTCTAAGACAAGAGGGGGAGAGAAGGGCAGAGCTCCAATTAACAACAAAGCTTTCCCCCAAATCTCAGCCAAATCTCTTCTCTCTCATGCATCAGATGGGTGGGTTAATAACAAGGACAAATACAGCTGCGAAGGCGGACAGCGAGAAACGCTGCATGTATTTACTTATTTGTTTGTTTGTTTACTGAAAAAAAAGTGAAAAAGCAACACCAACCTTGAGGATCCCAGTTCACCTGTTTTCTTGGAGTCTCGATTGGAAATTTCATTGCTTCCTTTGCACAAGGAGAAGGGAAGGATTAAATAAATTCCCAAAAAATTTTTTTTCCTGCCCTCAGAGCTGCAGCCAACAAACAAATTAATTTCGGGTCAGAGGGAAGACGGCGCCTTTCAAGAGAGGAAGGGAAAAATAAAGTAGTGGTTGCCAGGCAAAGATAAAATACAGGTGAAAACGGGGAAGGGAAGAAGGGAGCGTAGTTCTGAAGAGCAAGTGGCAACGGTGGCAAATGCCAAAGTGAGCTTTGGAATAACAGAGAAGGGCAAAAATAACCCGGGAGAAAAAAGGGGAAGTCTGATTCAAGGCGCTTCCTGGTTTTATCTGGGCTCCAAGAGCTGGGTCCTCCTGTCCTTTTGCAGATGCTCCTCGGTTGCCCACTGCAGCATTACACATTGGGCTGGCGGCGCACACGTGAACGCGTCGTTCAGCCCAGATGCAGAGCCGAGAGTGCCCGGGAATCGCGCCAGTCAGCCACTCAGGAGAGCTTCGCCTGCCAGCCAGGCTGCTGTGGGCTGCTAAGACATCTGGAGAACGCATGGAACAAGCTCATCTCCGCCCCACCACCACCACCAGCAGCAGCAGCAGTAGTTGCCGGAGAGGAACCGAGAAGCCGTGCACGACGCGCGAGACCGGGCAGAGCTTGGACCCGGGGAAAAAAAGGAAAGGAAAAAAAAAAAAAAGTCATCCGCTCGCCGAAGGGAGTTGCAGCCGCATGGCTTGTGGGAGGGCGCAGGAGCTCATCCTATATAAATGCAGCGACGACGGCAGGAGGAGGAGGAGGAGGAAGAAGCGCGAACTAGGCGGAGAAGGAAACACAGACTCGCCGCTTCTTCGCCTTTGGTCCAGCCAGCCTCGAGTCTCAAGAGTCCCGCGGACGGACCTCGCTTGGCAGAGAAAAAGGGGGCTGCCAAGAAGGGGCCGGAGCGTCGGTGGCCTCGGGAGCCAAAGGGGAAAGAGGGCGGCGCGCTCCGATTGCATTATTGGGGTGGGGGGTTGGAAGGGGGGGCGTCGATGGTGGCTGGCTACTTACTGGCTCGCTTTCTCGCCTGGAGGAGGAGATTGCATTGCGGTGTTGTTAGGTGGAGTTTTGCAGCGGAGACGCGCTTGGCTGGGTTGGGGAAGCGGTCTTAAGCAGCGATACCGCTTCGGGGGTGGGGGGAAAGGCGAGGGACAGACTTCCGAGCTCGGAGGGGTCTCCTCCTGCCACAAACTCGATGCGTACGAAGCCAAGACCGGCTAAAGGGATTGGCAGCTGTGATTTCACATTGTCGTGTAAATAATAATAATAATAATAATAATAATTGCTTAGCGCATTGTAAGCCGCCCTGAGTCTCCGGAGAAGGGCGGCATATAAATCAAATTAAAAAAATAAAAATAAAATAATAATACTACTAGTAGTAGGAAGAGACGGAGACGAGACCTAGGACGGAGCGGTCGAGAACTTTAGAATCACATTGCTCGATGCGGAGATCGGCTGCGTTCGCACGGTACAATGAACCCGCGAAGTAGACACGTTTTGGCGTGGTAGTCCAGACGAATGACGCCATGTTACTCTTTCCTCCTCCCTGTAGTGGTGGCGCAAACAAATAAGCTAAAAGGCCACGAGGCGCGAAGTCTAAAGTAGTTTGTTAGAAGTCTAACATAGGTGCGGAGAAGGTGCGAAGGGAGACATGGGTTAGAAGGTGGAACCAACAGGAGCTTGAGTCTCAGCAATCAGAGTGAAGCTAAGTGAACTCTCCTGAGTTCCTTACTGGTGTCAAAATTTCGAAAGAGCACCCAATGGTTTCATGTCCAGAGAAAGTATAGATAAATACAGAAATAGAAAAAATATAGGTAAAGTCACATATGAAAGTAGGACTTAGCATCACCCTGGAAATTGGTGCTGTAGAATTTGAGTTTCCCCTGAGATACAGGTAATCCTCGACTTACAACAGTTCATTTAGTGACCACTCAAAGCTACAAAGCCACTTAAAAACGTTATGACTTATGACCGTTTTTCACATCCCCATAACCATGTGATCAAAATGCAGCTGCTTGGCAGTTGGTTCATATTTATGACGGTTGCTGTGTTCCAAAGTCATGTGATCAACTTTTGTGACTTTCTGACAAGCAAAGGCAATGGGGAAACCAGATTCATTCATTTAAGAACCAGGGTACTAACTTATCAACTGCAGGGATTCACTTAACCATTATGGCAAGGAAGGTCGTAAAATGGGGCAAACTTCACTTAACAAATGTCTCACACAACAACATAAATTTTGGACTCCATTGTAATCGTAAGTCAAGGACTTCCTGTACTTGCATAGCCCGGATCTGTGCAGGTACTTACTTGGAAGTAAATGTCATGACTATTCAGTAGAGCCCAAGTAAACATGCGTAACATTGCAACATTAATTATCATGATTAATTTACTACATTGGTCCGTTTCCCTCCATATTCTTTTAATCCCTTTTTCAAACAAAAACAGTAGATAGACAGGAAAAGGTTTTGGAATACATTTTCCTGACCAGTTGCAAGCTTTTTTAAACAGCACATTTGTCCATTTTTGTAACATCTATTCATTTATTTATTGGTTCGATTTATATGCCGCCCTTCTCCGGAGACTCAGGGTGGCTTACAATGCATTAAGCAATAGCCTTCATACTTTTGTATATACCTGCTTAGTAGGGCTTTCACCCCACCCCCAAGCGGTGTTCTTTTTTATACAAAGTCAGCTTATTGCCCCCACAATCTGGGTCCTCATTTTACCTACCTCGGAAGGATGGAAGGCTGAGTCAACCTTGAGCCTGGTGAGATTTGAACTTGCAGTAATTGCAGGCAGCTGGTGCTACTTAACAGCACTTTAGTCTGCTGCGCCACCAAGGCTCTTGACATAGGTCAAGAATGAGGTAAACAAGAGGTCACCCCAGTTAGGATGGAAGCACAAGTCTCGAGGAACATTGAGGAAGCCTCTGGTACATTTTGACAATTAGGTGGCCTTGCAAATCTGTTGGAGACCCAGTTTGATCTTTTAGCCCAAGGCATCAGGCTATAAACTGGGAGACCATGAGTTCTAATCTTGCCTTAGATACAAAGCCACTGAGGTGACTTTGAGCCAGTCACTTTCTTTCAGTCCTAAGAAGCTGACAATGGCAAACCACTTCTGAAAAATCTTGCCAAGAAAACTGCATGGACCTGCCCAGACAGTCTGCCAAGAATCTGATATCTGAATGGAAGGGGGGTGGGGTGGGACACCTAATCTATTAGTATTAATAGTAAGCAGAAATGAGAATTTATAGAACATTTAATTTAAAAATTAAGTAGATATCTAAATTTTTACCCTTAAGAAATGCTTCATGCTATCACATTTCCCATCCATTAAGAATTTTAAAGCAGTAAATGTTTGCCTGCTCTCCTTTTCTTTCCAGGTTCCACTGTTGTTCATTCTGCCTTTTTCCTTCCAATCTGGGACTAGCTTCTGGTCAAAGACAGATTGGCACCAAGGTGTCCCCAAGGGAGATCAGCTGGTACTAAAGTCACAACAATCTTCTGGGGCTACATTTGCCAGACAGAAAAATGAGACAGTCTTGAGTTCCTTTGAGACTCTGTGGTTGCTTAGCCCTGTCTGCAATTTATGCCTCAAAGGTTCATTTTCTTTCTTTGCACAGGTTGAATATGCACATGTAAACGGGGAACCACGAAAGCAAATCATGTGAGTGTTCAAAGTATACAAGTGGGAATTGTAATAAAATGTTTCTGGGTAGCACTCTTTTATATAAGTTGGCTGTTACTTTGATTACACCATTGTATTCTCCGTTCACCCATGTTTTCTGTTTCACCCTCCATCAGCGCTGTTAGGTATGGTCTTCATATCCTTTTAGGAAATAGAAAAAAGGTCCTATCTAAAGATGATTTACTGATATTTTTTAATGTTTGTCTTGCACCTTTTGCAAATATCCCCTGAACCATACTGACATTGTACATGGATGGGGTTGTTTTAACTGTATAAAGAGAAGCACTCAATGTAATTGATGTATATAAAGAGAGTATTACTGGTTCGGTGCTATTTAGATAGCTGGTTCATGTAGGAAAAAAAGAGACAAAATAAATTGTATATATGTGCTAAGTAAGTCCAAGGAGAGGTCATAAAAATATACCTTGATATAGTCATCCTTATGCATAAACCACTGATGCCTACTTTGAATATTTTAATGACAGCTTTGTTGTTCATCCTGAATATAAATTACTGTTTGGCCAGACATTGTTCAATTTGTATTAGAAATATTTGTAATATGCAAAATTTGTAGGGAAATATTTGAACCCTAACTAAATAACTATCTAGTGCAGTCTAATCAGGACAAAAGCTGCTGATGCAGACTGTTGATTTGAATTGTTTGGGTAATTAATTAGCTAATTCTCCTTTGCCTCATTTCTGCAAGTCTCCTTGGTATCTATGTTTTCTTTCAGAGTGTTTTAACTAGTCAGTGAACTAAGATGTTTTATATAATTTGTGAGGATATTAAAATAAAAGCTTATATTTTTTGAATCATTTTCTAAACTGATGTCTTCTTGAGTTAACAGCTATTTCACACTTAAGTGCAATAGAGTCCACAAAGTATTCTATACATATTGATCCCAAGATATCTGAATTTTTCTATCTTAGCAAATAGGCACATATGAATTTAGGTATATAGTGAGAGATACACTGAACAGAAGGATACAACTACGGAAAGTTCAAACAAAAATCTCCTTAATATTTCAGCTTATTGATGTTAATTAATTAGCCATGTTATAAGTATAAATCCCAGAGTGGATAACTGATGTCTCATTTGAATCAGTTGCTTGACAATTTAGACTTGAAACAGACATGCTGTGGAATGACCAATTCATAAATGTCAACCTCTGCAGTAAACTGTTATTTAAATCGGGATGCTATCTTCAAAGACAAAGGATACAAGAAGAAACAAAAATGTTAAACTTATTTTACCCATGACTCTTTGGAATCTTTCCAAATTTTGTATACTGATAAGATGATAATGATATGACACAATGATAGCACAATTTAAAGTGGCATGTTATTGGTTTTGTGAGGTGAAAATATACTCCTGAAATTATAGTTTTATTGTAGAAAGACTCATACGTGTTTATCAATGTCTGTTTCTCCCTTTTAATTATGGCCTCCATATCAGCCCATTTGTGGTATACAATGGAAAAAAGATTTTTTAGGTGAGACACTGAATTGTCTTGCTAACAGTAATGTAGGGAACAACGATTAATGGATGGAATGATTTATGAGTTTGTTCTATAAGATACAAAGATAACATTATGGTTTCAGGACAAAGAGTGTTTTCTTCTGAATAGAGAAAAATGCCCTTGAAATCTAAAGAGGTTGTTGGCTGTACAATCACACAGATTCGATGTAATGGAAAACACAATTATTTAGATGTTTTAGTCATAGTACAATATCTTTGACTGCAGTTGGAAGGAGAATCCAAGCTTATCCTTTCCTTAAATTAAGCTGAGGAAATGATATTCCAAAATTAGGCCCATTTAGCAATGGGTCCTCGAAAGATTTCTTGTAAATCATCTTTGATTCCACCTTATTCATGGACAGTATTATACTATTATTTCTAGATCAACATTTCTAGCTGTAGCATCATCTCACTTGAGTAGTAAAGCAGCTATTCATGAGACAAAAGTCCCAAAATTCTTCATGCAAATTGCTGTCTATATTATTGCCAGCAAAATAATTCAGGAATATAGTCGTGAAAGCAAAATAGAAACATGGGGAAGCCATTGTACAGTGAGTCATACTCAATTCAGCAAGGTTTACTCCTTAGGCATAAAATGGGACTGTGTATAGTCCTTAGAACTCTTGGGTATGACCTTCAAATAATTCTAAAACTTGTACTCAATTGTAATTTTTAATAGTAAAGAAGAACGGTACTAAATATATAATTAAGTCAAATTAATTTTAATTTTATTTAAATATAGAATGAATAGAATCTTATTCAAGTTCAACTTCTGTTAATATGATAGAAATTACCATAGCTTCTTCTAGACTATTTTTTTTTCAATTTCCCAGTCTAATTTGCAATTCTGGACTTTTCTTGTAGTATCCCTTTCAACCAGATCTAATCCTGTTTAATTGGTTGA